TGTCCCGCTGCCCGAGCCCCTCCGCGGCTTTGCGCTGCGTCTTCCTGGTCTGCAGACCAGGGAGACGTAGAGCAAAGCCCCAGAGTACACGGGCGGCAGGACCGCGAGGTCCCGCAGTCCGTGTACTCTGGGGCAGCCCCGTTCGTAACTGCGGATCCAACATAAGTCGGATCCACGTAAGTCGGGGACTGCCTGTATAAAAAAAATTGGTGATATTTTACTATCTACCCACTGCAGGGCAATCTCTTGAATGTTGCTCAAGAGCTACTTCACCAACATTAAAACAAGATAAACTTAAAAAACAACAAATGGTCTGGTAGCACTTTATAGAGTAACAAAACATGTAGCTGGTATCATGAGCTTTCGTGGGCACAGCCCATTTCTTCAGATGACTAGAGTTTTGAGTTTAGGATGTGCAGACCCAAAATAAATAGGAGAAATGGGGGAGGGAGAGAAAGGGAGGAAAAAAAAGAAGGGGTCAGGAAACAAGGAGCAGAGGGTACAGAAATATCAAAGGGAAAAACAGGAAGGCAGAACTGGGAATCAGTAAGCACCTGAAGATTGGGTAGTTAAAACAAAGCAGATAAGAATCAGAGTCAATATATAGGAAGGGTACTAACAAGATTAAATGTAATTAGGTTAACTATCTGTAGAATGCACACTACTTCAATCAAAGTATAACAAAACAGAAAAGAAAACTTTAAATGTTTACTGTAAACTTTTAAAAAGTTTGCATGGAAGACATTACACTTCCTTAACATCAACAGAAATATTACCTAGCAGAATCTGCATGGCTAGAGTCTCTGTATAGTTAATACTCACCACATAAATTCCACCATGTTGGCCGTCATGAATCTTATTGTGTCGAACAATGGGACAACTATTTGTTCGAATCTGAATTCCTGCTAATGCATTACCTGTTGAAAGGAGTCACACTTCAGAAAAATTTAGCACACAAAATATAAAAAGTCTAAGATGCAGTAAGATAAATGTATATATTTACCATAAATGTCATTTCCTTCAATAAGGCCTCTTCCATCACCAAAGATGTAAACTCCACCTTGATTTCCATTAAAAATTGCATTGCCCCTAAGAATCAAAACCACGTTACGAAACTATGAAAGGAAGTTACACTGTACCATATAATCTAAACATACATAAATATAAATATAATGTAAAATGTACCAAGTTCTGACATCTAGAAAAGTATCAGAATTTTAAGAAATAAACACATTTGAAAATGTAATGTATGCATACACATGAAAAATATAATTCCACTGCACTGTAACATATCAATTTCATTTTTATATATGTACGCATGCTAACGTTATTCAAAAACTGAGATAATAGGGCACACATTGTCCTTTTTTTCCCTAAAATATTCCTATAAACAACAATTAATAACCACCCAAGAAACAAACCAACCTTATTGTTGGGTCGCTGTTTGAAGTAATCCAAACACCTGCAAAATTGTTTGCATAGATTTTATTCTCTATGAATTGTCCTCTTCCTTTTTCATGAACATAGATGCCTCCAGTCTGACCATGATGGATTTCACACCGAACTACTGTAGGGTTAGCATAAGCTTTGACCTCAAAGCCTGCTATCCTGTTTCTATGTATGTTGCAGCTTTCAAAATAACCCTACACAAAACAACACAAAATGTTTTCTGTAACATATTTTTAAAAGATTTTGTTAAGATTGTAGTTATTAAATTCTCCCCCTAAAATCTGAAAATATAAAAAGGGAAAAAAAAGGTAGCGATGTCCAAAAAAAGTACCATTCAATTGCTATAGACCTAGGTAATTACGTAGCCATCATCACTCATAAGCAGTGTTCCCTCTAACATTTTCCATCCGTGGGTGGATTGAATTTTCTTTTGGGCAGGTTAAAATTTCTTATGTGGAATACTAATATCGAGGTAGTTTGTGGATGTGCACCACTAGTACAAACAAAAAAGCCTACATATAAATATATATTTTAAACAATCCATAGGTAAGGAAGAAAATATATTAAAACAAGGGATAAACATCATAAGCATTGCTCCTTGTTAATTAATATGAAATCAAATAAAAATGAAATTAATACTATCTTTGGAGTACATGTATTATCATCCTTTCTAACAACTCAAGCTAGTAAAAACACCAAAATGCATATTATCCACACAAAGCTCAGCTTTAAGATGCTAAACGAATCCATGAGTCAACTAAGGATGTTAAATATTGACAAATCGAAGTGTCGAATTTTGCATCGACTATTCGATTAGTCCAGCGTTTCCCAAACTATGGGCCACAGCCCAGTACCGGGCCACGGGAAAAAAATACTGGGCCTCAGCATGCCTGGTGGCTGCCAGCAGGGCCGGCCTTAGGCCGATTTGGGCCCTGCGCCCCTGAACCCGGAAGTGCCGGCGAGTTACAGAGCCAGGGGTCCTGCTCCATCGATATGTGGAGCTGGGTCTCTCCCCCAGCTCTGCCTGGCGTGGGTGCTGCCCCCCCCACCCTCTGGTGCATCCTCCCACCCCGCCCCCAGAGCATCCCCGCCTGCTGCTCCCCATGTGCGGCGTTGCACGCG